ACTCAAATGGTACTATTCCAAATCTCCGTTCCTGCTACTTTCAAGCTATCCACTGACGTACGCTGACACTATTCCCAATCTATACCAGTTCTGGACCAAACCAGAACTGTCCGACTTAACTGTGATTACTAAAAGAGTTAGAAGTTTAAAAAAATTCAATAAGATTGCCAATTTTTTTGAGCAGTTGCCAACAAGTGGTGAGGTAAATTCAGGACCTGTACGCTGTTGGCTTGATGCACACGCTAGCATCATTTTTCCCGGTATATCCGACGGGTGCTTCGCTTTCTCGATCGGCTGTATGCGAACAGTCCGGTGCTAATACACAGGTAATTTTAAATTTTCTAACTCGCATCTTAAATATCTTATTATGTGAGTATAAAGCATAATTATTGTTTAAGTCATAAAAGTACATTTTAAATGCACAAATATATTATAATTACATGAATATTTTATAACTATGAGTGAAGGAAATTGTTTGTGCTGGGGTAAAGAATTAAACCTTTTAATAGTACATTGAAGAAATCGAGTAATCTGTTACATATTTACTACAGAAATAAAATAATTCATTACCAAATTTGACTACAAAGTTTTTTAGTGTACTGTACATGCGAGCACGCAAAAAACTTTAGTTCTTTTAAACCTGAGTTTTCATCAGGCGGTAAATTTTTAACTTGTCCAGTCCAGTTTTCCAGAATTTTATCCAGCTCATATTAACACGTAGTTTACTAACTTGAGAACCAGGAAAGCTAGGAAGCTGAAATTTCAGGATAATGTCCCCTGTTCAAGTACACCTGAATATTTTAAATTCATCCTCCACGTATGCGTGGTTCTCACGTGCAGGCACTTTAAAGTTTTGCGGAAAAACTGCTTAGTGAACCGTTTGGTCATTTTCAAAGAACGACCAGTAAACAGAAATTGTTCATTTTCTTCATACAAAATTTGCGGTCATTTACGTCAGTGAGCTCAAAAAATAGGTGTTGAGCAACAACCACTCATGCAGTTAAGGAGTTGATTACTTCAAATCTTGTGCAGAAGCACATGATTACACCGGTAAGCTAATGCATTTCGGCCTGGGTTGTATTATATCAATTGTATTTCATTCGCACTATTTCTTTTGTAACACATTCCTTTTTCTTTAGTTTTACATAGATTGTCAACTGCACGGAAATAAATTTTTACATTACACTGCATTTTTGCTATTATTTTTTCCAGTAAAAAACTCATACTTTTTTGAAAATGATTCAAAAAAGGACTCGAACTCAAAGGTTCAGTTTTTCAAAAAAATTTCAGCGCTCCTCAAAATTCACTTTTATTTTCAATCAGTCTTTAATTAAGTCTTAAACAAAGTCCCCTTGTGTTATTGACTTATTTCTAAATGCAAAAACTGTGTATTTCTAGTTGTACACGCTTTTCTCCAGTGCCTTATTGCTTACTGTGATTGTTTTTGTTGGACCTTTGCTCGAGCCGCTTCCCATGGTTGGTTCAGCTACTTCGTTAGTTTTAATTTATGATTGGTGCTTGTGCAATTTCACTAAAGCAAGGTGGCGCTTAGACAGAATGTCCTAATACACTTTTATCCCTTCTAGTTCACGAGATTTGGCCAGTTTTAGTCAGTTTTCTCAATCTTTCTCCATAATGACGTTCATCTACCTTTCCGAGGCTTATGCGACGCTCTTATTACATCTTTTAGTCTAGACCTCAAAATCTGTGTCAGTTGACGCGTCAAATGACCATTAGGTGATGATGAATGATCACCATCCCCAAATACTCCCTCAAATGACTGGTAAATTCAAATGCTCAAATGACCAGCAGTTTTCAGAAATCCTTTTGAATAACCATCAAGCCCCGAAGCTTTGCTTTAAATGACCGTCAATCCAAGGATTCAATTCAAATTATTACTAATTTCGAAAATTCCCTCAAATGACTACCAGTGCCAAAGGCCCACCTAAATCACTTAATCCCAAGAACCATGCTTACTGTCTTAAACGATCCTCAGCAAAGTTCCACGCAGCCACTGGGAAAAGAAAGCGCTAATGCCTAGGTGAAAAGTGTATATAAATCATTGGCGACGCGCACTTTTTGCAGTGTTTCGTGCTGTAATAAGATTACTCGAAATTCCGCTAGCTAAAAACCTCATACATACCGGTCCTCGAATTTCGGGAACTTAATTGTCCACGCTATAGTTGGACAGGGAACATTCTCTTGAAATC